ATGTAAAACTCACAGGAGCCAAATTCAGTCAGTAAAGTCATGGGATACCCACAATATGTGCTCACTCACCACCCAGAGAGTAGAGGTGGGTAAGGCTGGCACACTTGACCTCATAAGGCTTGCAGTCTGTCAGATAAACTTTTATGACCCTTCATTCTCATGTCAAACAAGCAGCAATGAATAGCCATAAGTATTTTTTTTTGCTTAATTTCTGGAAAACATTATTTAAGGAGGAATATTATATATTCTATACAGATATCAACTGAATTTATTTGTTACTACAGTCATCTTTCCTTAAAATATTGGCATAATTAATGGTTGAATTGAATTTTGGATGTGAATTTTGCTCTATTTGGGAACCAAAAATTGTTGGGGTCATATTCGTGGGTATAAAATCTACAAGTGAAAATGAGAGAAATTTGTACTGTATTCATTTCCTTATAATGTACTGTGATTCACAAATGTTAGTATATCACAACTTCCTGTTTTCTCTTTTTTTAAATATGGACTAGTAGAAAATTATTTAAAGAAATTTAGTTTCATAAACTCATTGAGTGTTCCTGATTTCTTTCCTTAAAGTGTTTTCTAATACCTTCATTCTCATTTAGAAAACAACTAATTTTATTTCTCAGTAAATTCTATAAAATAAAATGTCTTTCATTAGAAATTGCAAATACGTAACTTGTAAAATTAAATACAGTTTAAGATACGTTTGAATTCCCACACAAAAACAGTTTATATAATGCTTTTTGGAAATAGTTGTCTTTGTTTTAAATCATAATTACTATGAGATAATGACATAAGTACATCTAATAAACTTCAAAATCATTGACAAACATCTACTGGTGGGTATATTCTGAGAATTTTCAAATTGGGAAAAATACATTAGCAGTAGATATATATTTTTAGAAAGGCATTTTTTTTGAAAATGTGTTGATCTAAGTTTCCCACTGACTTCCATGTAAATTTCAACTTGGTGTCTGGTTTTGAGTATTTTATGCAGTGCTGTACTTTGCTGTGAGTTCTTTTCTCCAGGTAGCTTTTTCTCAGCCATTGCTCCCTTGATCTGAGGAGACATCAGAGAAGATCCTGCAATTTCTTTCTGATTATTTGGTGGCAGAAATTCGTTCGTAGGGTCAGCTGGGGCTGACCTCCAATTTGGCTCCCTTTAATAGAGCCACTAGGGAGATAAAGTCTGCATTTGGGAGATAGAAGGTAGGGCAAAGCAAAAGTCAGAATTATTTGGGAAGTAGCTAACTGGAAGCACTTGTATTGTTCTAACCACCTCCTATTTACCCCATTGATGGAGGAAGGATCTCCTTCTCTAATTAATATGAGACAGCCAAACACATGACACTACACAGACGACATTCACAGCAGTTTCTCAGTCACATATGCCCACAGTGCAGGGGAGGAGCACACCACGTGGCCAGCAGGGTCACATGGGGGTTGCACCTGGGGGCAGGTGGAACCAGCAGGGGTTGTGGGAGTCAGGCTTTGCAGTGACAGGAGTGCTAGGTGACCCGTGGTTTCTCTGGGGGGACGAGAGGAAATAGGTTAAGTTGAAGATAAGGTGGGATGGAACTGGTCTGGCTGATAGGAGAGCAAGCTAGGGGGAGAGCCTTTCCTACAGGGTGGAGAGCATATCTGGCAAGAGCAGAACTCAGGGGTAGGCCTTTTGGACTCCATGAAGTTCAAAGATGTCAAGGCAGCTCATGGAATTTTCATCTTTCCAATTCTGTCCTGAAGCTTCACATGAAAGATTGAGTGGAGGGAGGTGGGAGAAGCAAGTAGTATCTTGGCCAACTGCAAAGGGAGGGGGTCTTGGGCCAGTGTTACAGCCACTGCAGGTGGCTATAAAGATGAGATCCAGCTGGCTGTCCGCAGGAACAGCAGTGAGTACCAGAATTTCTACCCACATAGGACAGGTTGACTCAAGGAGCCATGAAACAAGCATGTGGTCTGTCAGAGGCAGGAGCTGAGGGGGTGCACAGGTGACATGCCTGGCTTATGTTTGGGATTTTATCAGATCTATGGCTTCTGGAGGGTATTTAATCCCTTAGATCTCTTTCCTCATTAGTATAATAGTAACTGTCTCAAGGGGTGGTTGAAATATTAAATGAGATATTACCTATAAGCACTTAATAAATACTATTATTATTGATTGGGTGCAGAAGTTACCCCAACCAGGTTCTGAGGGTGAGCTAAAAGGTGGCCAGGCTTAGCCTAAAGCAGTATTCAAGGTTGAGAGCAATGTAATATCACTGATATCACCTAAACCATACTGGAGTTTCTTTATTTCTCTTTATAAGGTCTTGCCTTGACATCCTGAAAACAATTAGAAGCTTTGTATTTAGAAGATTACTAAGATGTGTTTTAAATAATGACGATTTAGAGATTCTCCTGTCTAATGGTATTAATATGTCAAAAACAAAACACAGTGCTTATTATATAAAAAGCATTCAAATAAATCTTATTGAATAACTTGAAAAATGAGGCATTATCGCTATCACATGGACATTCCTCCCTAGCTTCATCTGTAATATTTAGGGGTAGTCTGAAAAAAAGATTAGTTATAGTACCGTGTGTAGAGGTTGCTCTAGAGTTTTCATATAAAAGGAACTTTAGTATTGTATTCTGGGGAAGAAGGAAACTTGTCCTGAAGCTTCACGGCATAGCCAGCACAAGTTTGTTTGCGTGTCGGTCTTAGGGAAACTGATAGGAAAAGAGGCCTTTCCAAGCCACTGGTTGGCTCATCCCTGTAGCAGTAGCAGGAAATAAGAGGTGGAGACAAAGTATTGACTTTTTGTAATTGGGGACATTTGCTAAGGACTAAATGTATTCATTTTCTGATTAGACCCTACTCCATTTCTATATACAACTCCTCACATAACTGTTCTGTTGAAATAAACTACAAAACACCAAGAAGACTTGTCTGCATTTCTCTGTAATCCCCATCATGCCTAATACAGTTTTTAAAAAATATATATATGTTCAATCAGTATTTGTTAACTGATTAGTTTTTAACTAAACCATCAATAATTGTCAGTTGTGTTTGTGACTTTACCCTTGCAAGACAAATTGTATTAAGAGATTCCTAGTGAATGAACCGGACCAGGTAATCTCTTAGAATTCTTTTAATAATAATAGTCTACAATGATCAAATCTATCAAGGAGAGATATTGGTAAGCAAAAACTAAGTTATGGGAAAACCTGTAGATTTATTAGCCTTATATTAACAGAAGACATTCTAGTAGAATAAAATTGTTTAAAGATTATGTATATTTACTAGTACAAAAATATGATAAATTTATAAACATGCTTATGTTACTGAATGTAACCCAGTAGATTCTTTGGTGTAGCATGCAGTGGCCACGACTGCCTGTTATGGTTAAATAGCACACATTTTCAATTCTGATGCCTGGGTTTGACTCCTGATTCCACCATTTAACAGCTGTGTCAGCCTTGGGGACATCACTTCAGCTCTCTGTGCCTTCACCTTATCTGTATAACAATGATAATTGTAGTAGCCACTTTATAGGGTTGTTATAAAGATTAAATGAATGAATTAGTGTCCATAAAGATCACAGAATATTGTCTGGCATCTAAGCACCATACACATTCCCGTGGTTGTTACTCTTGTTCTTATAGATACAGCTGACATTCAAGCAGTCTTTCCATGCTTGGTGACTAGAGAAGAAATTCATGGGCAACGGTTTTTTTTTTTCCCTCTAGGAATATGTAAAGCTTTGCTTGAAGTCCTTGAATTTGAAAGTAGGTAATTTTTTCAATTCTCATTCATTAAGAGAGCTTTTTTTTTTAAAATCTAGTATTCATGGAATTGATGTCAAAAACCCAGTGAGCACTATTTCACTGAAGAACTATCTCAGCTATTGCCCTAGAATGGTTTTAAAGCAAGCAATCTACTGCTGAAAGTGCTGCCTTTGATATCAAATGGTCATTAAAAGTCCCATAACACTTAACAAAGATTTAAAATTATTCATCTTTATCTCTTGGCAAGGGTTCAGATTTGAGATGAAATTCCCCTTAAGTGGTTAAGGTATCTATAGTCCTCCCGGCCTGATGCTTTTTAAGTAGTTTTGTTTTACTGGAGGAGTACTGTTTTCAGGTCTCTGTAGATGAGGAAACACTCTCATGACTCATAGGCTTAGTGTTGGGTCAGTTAGCAGTCAATGCATGTGGCCCTTTGGTTTATGATTTTTAATGCATTCCTTTTGTAAATTGTAAATTGACAAAATTCCTTTGCCATTTTAAAATCACTTTTTCTAAGTTCCTTTGATAAACTCCCCTGAACGCTCTTACCTTAGCAGTTCTATGGGAAATGTTTTAAATTCCAGAAGTGGTAAAGCTCAGAAAGGCCCTATAGATACAGAAGTACTAAAGTTAAATATGATGCTAAAGGGTGATAGAATAAACTGGACGTTACTGTGATAAGAAGAACGTTATAAGGTTTAAATATTAAGTCTTACGGCTTCTAAATTCTTTCAGAAAATCGTACTTAATGTTAGAGAAAAATGTTACAAGGCAGTACAAAACAATTTATAAAATGTAACTTATACAGTATTAAAACCTGGTAAGTGCCAGCAGGACTCTCAGTTGGGATCCTCAATTATAGTTTGTGCCTTTTGTATCGTGCCCAGATCCTTTTTAATGCAATTCGAAAAGAAATTCCTACGTACTGAGGACCCTAATTTACAGGGAAATATTTCATCTTTCCAGTTGGTGTTTCTCATGCCTTGTCTTCTCTGGACCTCTATCGGACTGCTGTTCCCCGGGATGGGATGGAAGTGCGTGGTCCAGGATTCCTTTCATTTATTTGTTGCTCGGCTCCGGGCTGTGAGGCGCTGCAGGTTCCTCAGCGTGGGCGGCGCTGACAAGCTGCGCGGGTGCGGCCGCGGGCTGCGCGCCGGAGGCGTGGCGCTGGGGGCGGAGCCTGGCCGCGGCGGGGCGGGACTTGTCCGCGGAGCCCAGCTGGCGGCGCGTCCCAGGTTGGCGGCCCCGAGCCGAGTCCGCGGCAACAGCGGCGGCGGCGGCCAGAGGCGGATGGTGGCGGGCCCGGTGCGGCTCCAGCCGTCTTCCTCGCCCGCGCAGCGCTAGCTCGCCCCGCGGGAGAGGGAGACCTGGCGGCGCTCGTGGCTAGGACTCGGGTGTCTCAGTCTCCGGGCTCCGCGGGAAGAAGCCCAGGGCTCCCAGGTGAAGCCGGTGTCCCAGAGCGATCCCGGAACGCCCGCCGCCGCATCGCTCCTCCTGGAAACCTCGGACGCCGAGCTTTTTCCAGCGCGTACAGTGCAGGGCGTGCGGGGAAAGAGGGGTGCACGTAAGGGGAAGGGGTGGCCGGGACACCGATAATGGACGCACAGACGTGTCGCATGGGCTGTCGCTGCCTCCTGCTGCTGGCTCTCGTTGGGGCTGCCCGGAACGAGGGTGTGCAGAGCTGCGAAGAAGTTCGCAAACTTTTCCAGTGGCGCCTGGTGGGAGTTGTCAAGGGGCTGCCGGATTCGCCTCGGGCAGGTAAGGCGCGGCTCGCGGGCGCAGGGCTGTGCGCCTGGGCGCGGCGGGGGCGTCTTGAGCGCCGGCCCGGGGCTCCCCAGCTTTCGGGGAGACCCTTTGCTGGCAGGTGCCCTTTCAGGCCCTGCGGCCGCGCGGTGAACCCCCGCGAGGCGTCTGGAGGCTGGGTGTGGAGCATCCGGAGCGCAGCGCCGCTCCTGCGCTCCCCGACTGCACTGGCAGCCAGGCCGACCTCTGGGCGTTCGCTTCCCGCCCCAGCTGCCTTAGCCTGGGCTGATGCATCGGGAGACGTCAGGAAAGCTAACAGCTGGGTACAGCGCGGCCTGACCACGTTTCTGTTCCGCGTGGGAATTTATCCAGTGCCCCGCCGGGAGCCTCTGTTTGCTGTTTTCTCGTAAGGTGGACGGAGTTGGGTTGGTCTTCAAGTTTGATGCTGCAAAGACAAACGTGCTTTCTGCTCCTTTCCTGGAGGACAGGGCATTGCCGAGGGCAGGGGGTCTTCTGTGACTAGGATTCGAAGCCGGAGCACCCACGCTGGCGTGATCCTTAACCGCCCTTTAATGCGCCGGCACAAGCCCTCCTTGCCGGAACCAAACTACCCACTGTGTTTCTCGGAACCACCCGGTAGTTTCAACGCCTGAAAGGTGTGACGGCAACAGGCGATCAAACAATATATTGAGGAGCCACTTGACATGAATGAGATATACCAGGGTTTGAAGGGGGAAGAATACAGTGAGCGTGGCCGGTGTAGATTCTGCTTGCTGTAAGCGCCTTTTGCCTGCACGTTTACCACCTGCTCCCCGCCTCCACAGCGTAAATTTCCTTCTGCTGGCGGGATTTACGGTTTACGTTCTGTCTGGAAGATTAGTTCTCAGTTGTCAAACCCAATAGAAGGTGTCGGGGGCTAAGGTCTCACTACAGTAATGCACTCTGACTATGAAGCCAACACACAAACGATGCTCTAAGCTTATTGGTTGAACAAAGAACTTGTAGAGGATAGATGCTTGGGTCTAAAATACGTCCTCTTCCCGAGTTTTTTGGATGAGTAGACTTGCTCCTTAGCACGATGGAGCTGTAGCTGATTTGCTTGATTTGCTGGTTTTGAACTCAGTTCTCGAATCATCCCACAAGGAAAATCTGGGCTTTTGGGACCACCGAATCCTTTTAGTTTACCAACCTTTTATATTTGAAATATATTTCAAAATTTATGATTCAAATATTTATTTGAATACCTATTTGACATTAGGTGCCTTTTCTATATAGTACTTGACACAACCCAGTTGATATTCTCAGTTTAGGGCAGTTTTTCTATCCTCAAACAATAGTACCTCTTTATAAACCTGTTTTCTTTTATCAGTGCACCCCTGTCTTTAAAAAAAAAAAGATATACCAGTGTGTGAGTTGGGAAGGGGGACACCATGAGGACATTGAGCTGTGAAATCCTTGCCTGCATTATTACATTTACCCCCAAGATACTATAATTCTGGCTGATAGGTTTAGGAGTTCAGATGTGGCCAGCTCCACAGTAGGGCCTTGATTTCACCATTCTTCTCCGTATTTCTGGTGCCTGGTGAATGCAACACATTGAATAGGTATTACATTTCTAGAACCTTGGATGTGTTTTATCTCTTTTGAAGAGGCTTTTCAGAGTTATCACTCACTGGCATAGCATTTTACCAGAATATGATGGGGAAATTGAAGCTCGGCCCTACAGAAAAGGAAATGGTTGGGTGTATGTGCATTTGAAACACGTGACACCGAAAAAGAGCCAGGATGGCAAGCACGTTATTTTCTAAGACATTCTGGTTTCCCCATTGCAAGTGCCTTTCTTTATCTTTGGCTTAAGGTAATGGAGAAATTAAAGCTGTACCACTAAAGGGGCCTTTTGGGGTTGCATTCTTAAGGACATTAGTAGTGCTGGGGTAAAGAAGTGCTAAATTCTTTTGATATTTGAATTTAGATAAAGTCATCTGAAAGTATTATTTTGAATTAGAATCACCCAATAAAAAGTAATCATATATGAATTTGGTATCATTTTGAATTTTTCTTGTCTCTGTATTGTTGGTAATTGATTAATTTGGATAATTAAATAAAATATTCAATTGTTTACTTTAACATTGATGTTTCTCTTCCCACTAAAAAAAATCTCATTCCCAAATTGAGTAAACCACCCATACCACATGCTTTATAAGTGCTTTTCTTTATTTTTGTTTTTATATATGATCAACAACATTTAGCTTGATTGAGTATAGTAGTTGGGTATGTTATTTTCTAAAATTACCCTCGACTCAAGAGAGAGCATAGTTTATCTACAAGTCACTTTCACATAAGGATACAAATATTAATATTCTCTGTAACAAACCTATACTTATTGAGCACACAGGCTTTCACTGACTAAAGCAAATACATTTATTTATTTCTCTTTTCCCCTTCATCTGTTTCACTTATTAAAAGCTAATACATTTAACTTTGCTGTTTGTTTTACTTGAAAGTTCATTTTAGTGCCTGCTTCAGTTATTGTCCACAAGTGGTTAATTCTTGAGATGACCAGCCAAAATGGTATTTTTAAAACATAAACAGGTAGAATATAACTTTTTACAGTTTCTTGCTACATTCATGACTTTCACATTTCCTGAAATCTATGTCACTTAATTTGAAATTATTAAAATGGTGAGAACAGCCATTTAAGCTGTTTCTCAGATTCCCCTCACCTTTGTTCTCTACCCTGCTCCAATTCTTTTAAGCCTATTGAGCTCCTGAGGATGTTTGGATGAGAAATGTAAAAAAAGGAGAGAAGGTGTAAATGTGATTAGAATTACAGATTTCTCTGTGTTCTGATTTTATTTCCTAAGTAGTAGTCAAGGTGCCCTTTGCACTTGTTTGTTTTATTCAGAAAAAAACTGTTAGTGAAAATGTCTTTTAAAGGTCCTTTTATTTTTATTTATTGGGGAGGAGGGATAATAGTGTTCATTGAAATTCTTTTCACACACTCGTTTCCTTTTTTTAAAGAAGGTAATTCAGAAAGGAGAAGCTTATAAAAAAATCCAAGACTAGATGCAGATAATTTATGTACCAACTAGTTTTAAAAATGTTGCTATTCACTGATACAGAGTAGTTTGTGAAAGATAACTTTTTTGGTAGCTTTTGGCTGTAAATGGGATAATAAAAAATACTTGCTGTGGCAAAATGAAATTTTAATACTATAGGACATTTTAAGTAATGCTCTATAGTTTTATTTTTTAACTGCTGTCATTATAGTCAAATTTTATCATTGCTTCAAGGACAGTGTTATTTTCTCACACTCAAAAGGAATGATACACCTGGTAACTTTGTAGCTTGCAATTATAGACATTTGGGGTTCAGAACTTGGTTCTGCACCTATAGCTCTGTGACCTAGTTAGTCAGTGATCTTTCCAATTTGGACCTCTGTTCCCTCATCTGTAAAATGGGAATATAGTTCTTAAAGGGTTGTTGCATAGATGAAATGAAATTATGTATGTATGTAAAATAGCAGAAATCCAGGCACAAAGGAAGTGGTCAAAAAATGTGTTGTTGCCATTTATAGTTTTTTATTCAGCTTCTTAATTTTTACTGGACTTACCTTTAAGGATGAGATTTTAGTTTTAGATTTCTACATATCAGACATTTTTATGATAACTAGTTTCTTTTTTTAAGTCACTTAAGATTCAACATTGAGAGATACATTTCTATATGATGAAAGTTTGTTTCTTTTTGTCCCACTGCTAACTGTCACAGGGTAGTTTTGGGGTTCACACAATTGGATGCCTGGTGGCCACAGTCACTCACTGATAGTCATCTCAAATTGGGATTCTTGTTTCTTATGAACTAATCTGTTTTGCTGCTTGGGCAGCATAGTTAAGGTGGCCCAATTTCCAAAGCCATAAAAGGGATCCATGGTCTGACACTGGGGCAGATTATTAATTATCAGGATCACCCTGTGTTGAAGCCCACCAACCAGAAACCACCAGAAACAAACCTGTAGTCAAACAAATCAGGCTGATTTTGCATGCTGCAGCAAGGAGATTGTACACCACAGGAACTGTGGCTGTCTTGGTAAGAGGTAGTTGAGGAGGGCTTTTATAGGATTTGGGTTTGTGCTGGGTGATAACAAGCAGAGTTTAATGAAGCAGGGTTATTCTAGAATTGGTGTCTTCGTGATTTATTCAGGTGTCAGGAAGATTAAGGTGGTGGTAAGTTGTTGGTAGTGAAGAAGCAATAGTCTCAGTGGTCAAAGATAGGGATGGCTAGTCATTTTTGTTACTGCAGAGCACCCTTGTCACTGTCCTGCTATACCACAGGTCTCAAGTAGCTTTGTCTCATCACTGTTTTCTTATTCTATGCATGTTGTCTATGTTTAGTTTGTTACCATCAAGACCTAGTTCCAGCTTGTCACTTCCTTCTCTGGAAAATCCATGTATGTGCTTTCATGTCTAAGAAAATCATACGTTTCATTTTTATCCAGGCCTTTAGTGAAGCTGAAGGATGGGAAAGTGAGTATGATTTTCTGCTTCAGGGCCATAGAGTATGACTGTCCACCAGGCGCCTGAGTTGTACTAATCACACCCGAGTCCCTCATAGTCACTTTAGTAACAAATATAAATGTGTGTGTCCCTGTCCCCTCTCCATCTCATCATTTAAGTTCCTTTTTGCCCAGTGTCCAACATCTTGTATTTGTATAATTGGCTTTAGGAGGAGTACCATTTGGGGACTTAAGAATAGCATTTTATAATTATTCTACCCTCCTTCCCAAACCAGTTTCCATCTTGTCAAGACTTCCTGCAGTATGGATTTTGTCTTGTCTCTGTGGGTGTAGTTTACTTTCAAGATTTGGTAAGAACACATTCTAAATCTACAATATTTCTTTTATCATTAACTGGTATAAGACCAAGAGCAATGTTCCAACAATTAGATGCCTCTCTTAAATAGACATGATTTATAGATCAATGACCTCTTTGTATAACTTCAAGAAACCACAAATCTGT